GCATGCAAGGCAAGCGCTCTACCACTGAGCCACCTTCCCAGCCCTACACAAAGATTTTTTTGACTGTTGATACCAGCATTATTATTCCTAATAGCTCAAAATGGAAACAACCCAAATAATTAAAAGAACCCAAATAATTAAATATACATGTGGTATATACCCAGACAGTAGAATATTACTAGGCTATAACAAGAATAAAGTTCTGATACTTGCTGTAACAGTGAAGTCTTAAAAACATATTAAGGAGAATGAGCCACTCACAAAGACCACTTATTAAATCATTCCATTTGTATGAAATGTCAAAACATGGGCCAATCCATAGAAACTAAAAGTAGATTCATAGTTGCATAGAGGAATTGGAGACAATTGAACAGTGACTAGTGAATATGAATTTCCTTTTAAGGGTGCTGAAAAGGTTCTAGAATTGGGTGGTAGTGGTATTTACATAATTTTGTGCATTACATCATAATTGAAGGTGAAGTAAAATGAGATTTGGGTCATGTTGGGACTGCTCTGTAACTTAAAAAACACAGTTATACATTTTAAATAAAGGAGCTGAACATGATGATGCATGTCTATAATATTAGCACTCAAGATGCTAATGCAAAAGGCTGTGAATTTGAGACCAGACTGGGCTACATAGTATGGGATATACCCTCTCTCCCCATAAAAATAATAAAATGAGTGAATCTTATTCATTTGCTGACACCTGTAGTCCCAGCTACAACAGGCAGGAGGATTCTTTTTTCTTTTTGGTGCCAGTCCTGGGGCTTGAACTCAGGGCCTGGGTGTTGTCCCTGAGTTTCTTTTTCTCAAGGCTCACGCTCTACCATTTGAGCCACTGACAAAACAATCAAAAAAAAAAACAAACCCACAACAGCTTAATTGGGGAAAGGTGAATAGAAGGGGGGACATAGGAGAAAATGAGTGAGGGGTAACACTATTCAAAAAAGAAATACACTCATTACCTTATGTAACTGTAATCCCTCTGTGTATCACCTTTACAATAAAATTTAAATGAAAAAAACCCAGCTTAATTACTTAGAACCCAGAGCCTACTGCTTAAAAGATAAGCAGGAACTCTGTCACTTAAGCCATGCTTCCAGCCTCTCTATGCATCAGTTCTTTTTGAGGTAGGGTTTTGCTTTATGCTTAGCCCAAGCATGAGATAGGATTCTCTTATTTGTTTTTTTTTTTTTTTTTGGGGTCCGGTTGTGGGGCCTGAACTCTGGGCCTGGGCGCTGTCCCTCAGCTCTTCAGCTCAAGGCTAGCACTCTACCACTTGAGCCACAGCGCCACTTCTGGCTTTTTTCTTTTTGCTTATGTGGTGCTGGGGAATCTAACCCAGGGCCTCATGCATTGCAAGGCAAGCGCTCTGCCACTGAGCCACCTTCCCAGCCCCAGGATTCTCCTATTTGTGCTTCCCTTATTGCTGGGAATGACAAGCCCGAAGTATTGCATCCAGTCATTGAGTGAGATGGAGTCTCTAGAACTTTTATGTCCAGACTGACTACCTTGAACTGTGATCCCCCCTTTTCTGCTTCCCAGCTAGCTAGTATTACTGACTTAAGCCACTGAAATACTTTTTTGGCAGAAAAACTTTAAGACTGTATAATAGATTTTGAAATTCTTGATTATGTACTATTCTAAATATGTCAAGAAATCTAAAGTAATGTGTTAAGTAATGTGTTACCTTAATTTCTTCCATCATATTTGTTTTGAATTGACTACCAAAACGGGCCCTGAAGATACTTCATAGAGAAATGGTATAACAAGTTAAGGTGCTTCAAGGAGAACTGTCAATTACCAAATTCAGTGATAAACTGCAGGCTAAGTTACCATTGCAGGCTACAGAAAGTTCTTCATTGATTTCTTTAGCTGATGATCCCAGAGAATTTATTATATGTATGGGTACTCTAGTAACGAATTTAAACTACAGTTACCCTTTAAGAACCCTGAAAATGTTTATTTTGAAAAATAGAACAAAGTTATTTAACTATAAAACAATGGTAACATGGCAGGATATGAGGAAGTGTCAAATGAATGGCAGAGAAACACAAAGGGATATAGATGTTGTAGGCTGGCATAGGTACAGAACTTTGTGTTAAAGGGAATGGGCAGCCAGGCGCAGGTGGCTTATGCCTGTAATCCTACCTACTCGGAGGCTGAGATCTGAAGATCTCAGTTCAAAGCCAGGCAGGAAAGTCTGTGAGACTCTTATCTCAATTAAGACAATCAGAAAACTGGAAATGGCACTGTGGCTCTTGTGGTAGAGTGCTAGCCTTGAGCTGAAGAGCTGAGGGATAGCACC